GTTCCTTTCTATAAAATTTCAGCTACCGAGGTGGTTTCTGGTGTCTCAGGTATTTGTCTTCTGTTATAAATCCTCCTGCTGAATATGATATTAGGCTGAGCATTATTCTTGGAGTTGTTGCATGGAGTTTGGATAAATGAAATTATTTCGTTAACAATGATGGGAAGCTTTTGCAAAGGCAATGTGTTTGCTAATAGTTTATAGTTTCATATTTAATTTCTCAGGTGCATCAGAAGAAAATATCAGGGAACTCTTCTCAAAAGCATACAGGACTGCCCCATCAATTGTATTCATTGATGAGATTGATGCTATTGCATCTAAAAGAGAAAATCTGCAGAGGGAGATGGAGCGCCGGATTGTCACTCAGTTAATGACTTGTATGGATGAGTCTCATAGACTTGTGCAATCAAGTGACAAAGAGTCAAATTTGGAGAGCTCTGATTCCAAACCTGGTTATGTCCTTGTAATTGGAGCTACCAATAGGCCTGATGCTGTTGACTCTGCACTACGGCGGCCTGGACGATTTGATCGTGAGATTGTTCTTGGTGTTCCGGATGAAAATGCTAGGCATGAGATCCTTTCTGTGCTTACACGAAACCTTAGACTCGAAGGCTCTTTTGATCTTTGGAAAATAGCTAGGGCTACACCAGGGTTTGTTGGAGCAGATTTGGCTGCCTTGGCCAACAAGGCTGGTAATCTTGCCATGAAGAGGATCATAGACCAAAGAAAGCATGAGTTTTCTAGAGAATCTATTGATGAGGAACAAGCTGATGAGTGGTGGAGACAGCCTTGGTTGCCTGAGGAGATGGAAAAGCTCACCATTACTATGGCTGATTTTGAGGTAATTAAAGCTAAACTTTTTTCTTTTCATTTATTTATATGATTAAAAGTAAGCTGACGTGTATGCTTAGTGGCTTACATATGTTCTATGCTATTATCTGCATTTCTGTCAATGCCATAGATATCAAAGTTGTTTGGGAAATGCATTTGTATTGTCATTTCTAGATGCAATTTTACTACTTGCGAGTTTCTCTTTGACTGCTATGTAATATAGTTTAATTGCCATGATTAAGAGTTCTAATGAACTATAGAGTTACACTTGATGTTTTTATAATAGTTTGAAACAAAGGTGTTGTATTTCTGTATCTGTTATACAGAAGTAATTCCTTCACATTAGAAAGTTTTATATGAAACTTATGCCTTTGTTGATGTATTTGCTTAATTTGATCATGCCCCTTTCTTTTTCTTTTGCTTTTTTTAAAGAAATTGAAAAATGTTTTACCTGCAGGAAGCAGCTAAAATGGTTCAACCCTCATCAAGAAGAGAGGGATTCTCTACAATTCCAAATGTTAAGTGGGAGGATGTTGGTGGTCTTGATTTCCTAAGGCAGGAATTTGACCGTTACATAGTTAGGCGCATAAAATTTCCTGAGGATTATGCGGTAATTGTAGATAGTTGCTACCTCTTTATTCCCTCTCTCTTTCTCTCATGCTCCAAAAGGGCTAAGAATAGACATCAAAAATAGAAATGATTTAAAAGGAGTAGGATTAGCCTTCTTAACATGGTAAATGGAAGGAAGCCAACCACGGAAAAATTGGTTTGAATGTTTGAAACATGTCTTACGTGGTCTCCAACTTTGTTGACTCGCAAGCTCAGCATAAATACAATCTAGGCCCATATATACCCTGTCAGTCAGATTGCCATTATGAAATTTGCTTTTCAAATCTTTGAATTATTCACAATGTCAGGAATTCGGAGTGGACTTGGAGACAGGATTTTTGCTTTATGGACCACCAGGCTGTGGTAAA